TCATCTCCATATTCTCCACCACCACCACCACCTCCCACCAGCAGCCGCATTGTGCACGATCGCCAATCAACCACCAAACCCGACCACGGACACAAGCATCGCCAGCCAAGCCTCCGCCTCCTCGAGCGAGGCCCCATATGGCGTCATCCGAAGCTGGGTCGCGACGCTCAGTCTTCTCTTTCTTTCCTTCTCTACTCACCCTCTGCTTTGGTTGCCGCCACCATCGACTCTCGAAATTTTGCACGAGCTTTGACTCTTGTACTCGGCTGCGCTTGACCAGAGCCCTAATCTCGGATCTAGGGTCGCCCAAGCCCTAGATCTCGGGATTTTGGGCTCGTTCGACGCCGAATCGAGGTTGATTAGGTCCGCAATGGCCGAAGAGCGGAGGCGGGCTCATGGACCCGAGCTGTGGACAATGGGGGAGGTGGGAGTTCATTGTCATATAGCCTGAGATTGGAGGTTTTGCTGGTTAAGACTCTGAAGTGGAAGGTATGGTGGTGGTCGCTCGTGGAGTTTGGCTTTGGAGTCGCCGGAGATGGTGGGGTCGAGCGGCAGTGCAGTGGAGGTAAGGCAAAGGAGAGCGAGGGGAGGAGAGTGTGTGTCACACAATTGTGAAGACAAAATAGGAAAATCGAAGCAGGCCAAAAAAAGGGAAAAATAGAAAATCCGAACCGAACCGAACCAACCCGAATCAAACCGAACCGAATTTGAGTTTTCGGTTTGGTTCGTATTAAGTTCGGATGCGATTCGGTTCGGCTCAGCCACTATCTTTAACGGTTCGGTTCGGATTTTCGGGAAACCCGAATCGAACCGAACCTTTGACACCCATAATATACACATCTCTTCTTTCTTCTCCATCACCCTGTTCTTCTCCACTTCTCTCTCTTCTCAATAGCCCACCATGGAGCGCGCCACCACCCTCCGGATCAGATTCGATGCCTTCAACCACGCTCAAAAGCAATGGAGGAATAATGAATTTAGAGACACTCTATCGTGAGTCTACTATTATTATTATTATTTTTTATCTGAAATCGTTTCTTTTGAGGTTTTTATGTATGTTTCTTATGGTTTTCAGAGATGGAGAGCGTGAGGCTTTTCGTCTTGCGTTTGAGCAAGCCCGAACTGAACTTGAGGCAATCATTATGGAGATTAAGCTGCATTCGGTTTATGGGTCGAACTGAACCGATACAACCCGAACTGGTATAAAAATATTGGTTATTTTCATTAATCGAACCGAAACCCGAATTGAACCGAAAATTCACAAATTTTTGGTTCGGTTCGATTCGGTTCGTATCTTGATTCGGTTTTTTGGTTCGGTTCTGACACCTCTAATAAATATAGTGGAAATGCAAGGCCATAAAAACACAGGACAGATAGGTTTGGGCCTCGGCCCTCATAACACAACATGGGTGGCCAGTAAGAGACGTGTGGAACATAACCCAGCGTCCCAAGAAACGCAAACGTTTATTTTCCGTATGTCGAATATCTAAATTCGATCCTATTAACGATGCAAGAAAGTAATGAAAATTCGCACAACACAAGAATTTATGTGGTTCAGCAGGGGAGATGTTTCGCCTACCTACGTCCACGGGGAGAAGAGATTCCTTTCACTAATAACGTAGAAAAGTGTACAACCACTCTTTCTCACCCCCTGCCTCTATTCTAGAAACTCGTTTCGCCCTAAATATATATAGCGAAACCCTACATGGCACAAATTACAAAATTGCCCACATAGCCTAAAATATTTAGCTTTCCCATATAAATCTTTCTATGACTGAACATAAAACGCCTCTGGCGTCCCGGGGGCGCTGCCCCAGCGACCCCTGCCGGGGCGGCCCCCCGGACCCCCGCCCCCTCACCGGGGAGCGGAACCCCCATGCTGTCCAGTCGTTAGGAGGCCTTTCGGAACCGCCTCATAATCTCTCGGATAACGGAATACAAGACATCAATCTCAACACTGTAAGCATCATTGACTAATTTTTTTATTATTTAAATTTCTTACAAATCTCTAAAAAATGCCCTAATCGTTCACAACCCTACGCCGCACACAGACTCACGCTTGCCCCCTAATTCGTACGCTCGCTCAAGCCTCTCCTCTCGCCACGGCTTCAACGGAGAAAGCGTTGTCCAACTACCTCAATGCAGAATCGTATCTCAATGCAGCGTCCTTTTTACACACTTCTTCCGTGTCTTCTCCATCACGGGGAGTGTCCAACTACCTCAATTCAGAATGGAATCCCAATGCAGAGTCCTTTTTACACACTTCTTCCATGTCTTCTCCATCACAGGGAGGTGAGGTTTCGATGGAGAAAGTGTTGTTGTCCTTTTTACACGCTTCTTCCATGCCCTTTAACTCTATATATACACTAGGGGTGTCAGAACCAAACCGAAAAATCGAACCGAACCAAAAATTTGTGAATTTTCGGTTCAGTTCGGGTTTCGGTTCGGTTAATGAAAATAACCAATATTTTTATACTAGTTCGGGCTGTATCGGTTCAGTTCGGCTCATAAACCGAACTGAACCGATATTGAGAAACCCTTCATGCTTACACGCTTACTTCTCAAACCCTAATATAAATTTTGTCTCTGTACTTGCTTTTTCTTTACTTCCCTTGCAACTTCATCTCCAGATTCTCCACCACCACCACCACCACCACCTCCCACCAGCAGCCGCATTGTGCACGATCGCCAGTCAACCACCAAACCCGACCACGGACACAAGCACCGCCAGCCAAGCCTCCGCCTCCTCGAGCGAGGCCCCATATGGCGTCATCCGAAGCTGGGTCGCGACGCTCAGTCTTCTCTTTCTTTCCTTCTCTACTCACCCTCTGCTTTGGTTGCCGCCACCATCGACTCTCAAAATTTTTCACGAGCTTTGACTCTCGTACTCGGCTGCGCTTGACCAGAGCCCTAATCTCGGATCTAGGGTCGCCCAAGCCCTAGATCTCGGGATTTTGGGCTCGTTCGACGCCGAATCGAGGTTGATTGGGTCCGCAATGGCCGAAGAGTGGAGGCGGGCTCATGGACCCGAGCTGTGGACGATGGGGGAGGTGGGAGTTCATTGTCATATAGCCTGAGATTGGAGGTTTTGCTGGTTAAGACTCTGAAGTGGAAGGTATGGTGGTGGTCGCTCGTGGAGTTTGGCTTTGGAGTCGCCGGAGATGGTGGGGTCGAGCGGCGGTGTGGTGGAGGCAAGGCAAAGGAGAGCGAGGTGAGGAGAGTGTGTGTCACACAATTGTGAAGACAAAATAGGAAAATCGAAGCAGGCCAAAAAAAGGGGAAAACCGAAAATCCGAACCGAACCAAACCGAATCAAACCGAACAGAATTTGAGTTTTCGGTTTGATTCGTTTTCAGTTCGGATGCGATTCGGTTCGGCTCAGCCATTATCTTTAACGGTTTGGTTCGGGTTTTCAAGAAACCCGAATCGAACCGAACTGTTGACACCTCTAATATACACATCTCTTCTTTCTTCTCCATCACCCCGCTCTTCTCCACTTCTCTCCTCAATAGCCCTCCACTTCTCTCTCTTCTCAATAGCCCACCATGGAGCGCGCCACCACCCTCCGAATTAGATTCGATGCCTTCAACCACGCTCAAAAGCAATGGAGGAATAATGAATTTAGAGACACTCTATCGTGAGTCTACTATTTTTATTATTTTTGTTATCTGAAATCGTTTTGTTTTTTAGGTTTTTATGTATGTTTCTTATGGTTTTCAGAGGTGGAGAGCCTGAGGCTTTTCGTCTTGCGTTTGAGCAAGCCCGAACTGAACTTGAGGCGATCATTACGGAGATTAAGCAGCATCCGGTTTTGGTGCTGCATTCCTTGAGCGAAGCTAAAGCCTTCCTTTTCTTAAGAATGCGATATTTTGAAAATCGTGGCACCCTCTGTCGAATATCTAAATTCGATCCTATCAACGATGCAAAAAAGTAATGGAAATTCGCACAACACAAGAATTTACGTAATTCAGCAGGGGAGATGTTCCGCCTACCTACGTTCACGGGGAGAAGAGATCTGTTTAACTAATAACGTAGAAAAGTGTACAGTCACTCTTTCTCACCCCCTGCCTCTATTCTAGAGACCCGTTTCGCTCTAAATATATATAGCGAAACCCTACATGGCACAAATTACAAAATTGCCTACATAGCCTAAAATATTTAGCTTTTCCATATAAATCCTTCTATGACTGAACATAAAACGCCTTTGGCGGCTCAGGGGCGCTGCCCCCGCGACCCCCACCGGGGCAGCCCCTTCGGACCGTCGCTCGCTTACCGGGGAGCGGGACCCCGTGCTGTCCAGTCGTCAGGGGGCCTTTCGAAATCGCCTCATAATCTCTTGGATAACAGAATACAAGACATCAACCTCAACACCCTCAATGATCTGGAAATCGACAATGATGTTGTCACCGCAACAAAAAATAAGATGATTAGAGCTCTGCAAGAAGGAGGAATGACATTGGAGGAACCCCGCACAATCTTCCGATTTCCAGCTCCAGCTCCAGCTCCAGCTCAGAACTAAGTAGTAACTTTCAGGCTTTTTATCCTAGGTCTTTTTTCATCTTTTTTCTTTCGAGCGTCTAGGTTTAAGTAAAATGTTCAGTTTAGGTTTTTTTTTTTTTCGAAAGCCCAAGAATTTAGGCGTGATGTGTCTGAAAAATCATGAAATTTTTATGATATGGATGCAATTTTTAAAACGAAGGGTTAAAAAAAGAGAAAATATTCGGTGGTATCGTTTCGAGAAATAACGTGATCCCGCTATTGCTGGAACTAGAGCATAAGCAGAGTCATAGAGATGCTCGCTGATCATTCAGACGCGACAATCTCAGCCTCCAAATTATTTAGATGTATGAAATGTCATTGATCAGGCCCTTCACTTTTCATCTAAACAAAGATTCGAAAATGCTAATCGACAGTTCTACAGAATATATAAAAACAAGAAAGCTCATCTTTTGTTCCACTGAAAGAAAATAGAGATGATAACAACTCCTCTGTGATGGCCAATAAAAGTTGTCACGCATGAGTTAGAATATTAGAATGTTCCAAAAGTTCAATAGCAAAAATAGAGCAGACAAATTAAGTATTACCAGGAGTACCGACACCGATCGTATCTCCAAGAGATATTTCAGAGCAACCCATATCATAAAGCTTTTCTGCCACACATGCGACTTTCGTTGGAGGTACCTTTCCTTCCACTGGACACCCACAACACATGATATGTATCTGAAAAAGAAATATTAAATCAGTCACATCCTGTTTGCTAACGAAGAAACTGCAAAACCAGTATATTGAAAAACTTGGACCATATATCTGTGAGAAAGAATTATTGATTGCGATTCTCAAAATTTGACAAGGTATTCCCTACTTTTAATAAATTACTGTGTCATATTATTAGTTGGCACACCAAGCAACAGTATGCATCTTCCTTCATATCTGTTAGGATAATCACTGTTCACAGTAGTGGAATTTAGTATGTTGATCGCTCAAAAGTACTCTTACAAACTGTTGGAGGCCTCACCCGATCTTTCTCGACTCACTCTCTCCTTCGCACACAATCTCCATCTTTCATGACTTTACCATTCCCTCTCTTCTACATGTCTTTGAGAGTCAACCAACGTTGTGAATGAGGATAATGGGTAGTCTCATCAATCCAAGGATGTCCGGAGTGATTTTTCAAAAGTAGCTACAAAGTGTTATTTTCCATGTAACTCTCTTGAATCAACACATTTTATCCTATATAGGTAGCAGAATTGTTCTTTAGAATTCCATCTTACCCTCGTAGGAGAAATTAATTTAGCCAAAATGAGAAGGTTGTTTTGTGATGCAGTATATATCACAAGCTTGAAAAGAGAGTTTATCCAGTCTAAGGCAGAGAAATAAGATAACTGTACATAACTATGAAGCGTGATCACTAACATAGATACTGCACAACCAAAATGGTCAACAATGAGAAGAGAAGTACTTCTAGCCATGCCTATGTGTAGGCCAAGATCAAGACTGTGTAGAGAAGTTCAAATATAATATGTAACTGTTATAAATCCATAAATTCATCGGTCTCCATCTACAATATCAAAAGCAGTTCCAACAATTTTCTCACACACCCAACGCCGCCACAAGATGTGTTGTTTATGTGACTAGACTTGTGCCTAAGTTACATAACAATTGCACTATGTCCTCGAACAAACAATCGTTTCCTAAAAGCAACATGAATGAGAGCAGATCTCTCTTCAATTTCTTCCAGTAGGCTCAAAATGCTTGAACCATATCGACATCCTATCACTCTGGTTTTGAGTTCCAAAAGAGATCATTATAATAGACAATATTCACTTGGACCAGAAAGATAAGACGACTTCTCTTCTCCGCATATCAGTAGTCTAAGTCAAAAGACCTACCCACGGATAGGAAGTGAGGCCTTCTTAGCTGCAAGCGAAACATCATGGTAACGTTTAAGACTCTCCCTTATGCTGCAATTTATATTTGACTCGGAAAAAGATTCCGAAGCGGAAGCGAAGACCGCCACTTCCTTGGCTCCTGCTGCAACTGCAGCTTCAAATCCCTGAAAGAATGTGAAATTTTTCATCATGCCAGATGATCGCATATGCTGAGACATAAACTTTGTTACTAAATACTCAACTATACTTACTTTAAGATTAGGAGTTAATACAGGAAATCTAGCACCTTCAACATTTCGAATTGGTTCCATAACATCCTTTGCATCTCCTAGCTGTTCAGTTGCAATACAGTTCATGATGGCAGCACTTTATATTGGCAATATGGTCTAATTAATGAAACATAGTAAAATTTAGCGAAAAAACCAGAAATATTTACTAAGCATTAAAGGAATCGGTGATGGAAGTTATCATGTGCCTAAGACGGAAATCACCTTCCCGATTTAGTCACTCTCGGGGAAACACCATTCCCTTCGCCGGTGATTCAGTAGGTGGTGGTGTTTGTTGACGTTGGCGGTAGGTGGCGATGGCTGGAGAAGGAAATTCCGGCGAGCTCGAAATAGTTTCGGTGTTCAAGGTGGTCTCGGGAAGAAGAGCAACGGAAAAAGAAAATAAAAAATTGGAAAAAGAAAAATAGAAAAGAAAAAAGAAAAATAGAAAATCAAAATAATATTCTAAAGAATATAATCAATAGGTGGGGTCGGATCTGGTTAATTGAATCGGGTCGGGTTAAGTGTTTGGGCCAGTTTTGGTGTATTTGAACCCAACCTGGACCCTATTGGTCCGGGTTAGACCTACATATTCGGATTTGGGTCCCCTGACTTGATCCAACACCCATTTTAGAATAAAAAAAATAAAAATAGTAAAAAATAAAAATAAAAAATTCCAAAAATTTAAAAAACTAGGAAAAAGCTTAGAAATTAGATTTTGACTAGTTTTATTATATTTTTAGTGATAGTTCCGGTTTAGAATTAGTTTTAGAGTTTCCAAAATTTTAATTCAACTAGTTTAGGGATTTTAATAAATATTTTAGGTTTAAAGAAAATTTGTTTCAAAATTGAATAAGCTCTTAAGGCTTTATTATACGGATTTTTGAATGTCGTTTTCTTTAAGGGACAATGCTAGGTCGCTATTTGTGCCTTTCCATTTTGGATAATGACACAAACAATCCCTGAACTTTGGCTCAATGTGCAATTTGATCTCTGAACTTTTAATTTGTTCAATGTAATCCCTAAACTTTAGCATAATGCTCAATGTGATCCTTGAACTTTTAATTTGTTCAATGTGATATCCGGACTTTTGGTACATATTCAAGTTGGTCCCTAAATATATGAAAATATTCAATGCCATCCTTCCATTAATTTAAGTTCATGCACAATATTGAACATTGTTATATATGTCATGAACTCGATTGGACGTGTAGTAGAAGTTCAGAGACCACATTGAACAAATTAAAAATTTAAAAATTTAATTACTTATTAGTCCAAAGTTCATGGATCATTTACATCATTTTCCCTTAAATTTACTTATCAAACACAACTGTAACGTGAAATATTCGCTCGAGGTTGATGCCTTCATTTTTCAAGGGGAAAAGAAACAAAACTTTTGCAGGCATTCCTTCCCCCGTACATTCTCTGGTCTCCTCTTTGCCGCGCATGTTTCTGATCTGTCCATTCCCTTTTTGCTCGTTCATCGCCCTCCTCCCATCTCTGCTCATCGGCTTTTCTCGTATGCAAGAAAACCATCGAAGGCTGCAACAAGTTGGGGGTCGATTCAGAGAAATTCTCCATCAAACAAAAGAAAAAAACCAGAAATTGATGGCCTCAAATCAAAGCCTCTTCGAAGCATATTGATCGCACAATGCCCTAGATTTTCTCGTTTTCAATGATACGTCATTTCGATCCGTGGAACGCGGGATTCGCAGTACGCCTAATAGCTCTTTTACGCTGTTTGGTATGCGGATCTTGTTGACGTTTCGAGGCCCATCTTAGTCGTTTTTTACGCTTGTTTTGGAGCTGGACTGAATCCACCTGTGTTGCAGTAGCTGGAGGCCCATGAAACCATGGGCTTCGATTTGCTGGTCGGTGTTCAGCCACTTGGACTCTAGTTCGAGTTACTTGGGAATCAGACCGGGGCCGGTAATGTTGGACACAATCCGTTTCCACGACTCGGCGTGCCACGAGATATGATGCGAATTTTCGGAATGAAAAAATCAGTTTCGAAACACGGCATGCGGATTAACACGTCTTCATTGTATCCGATTATTTGGCACACGAAATCGGAGTCAAAATGTTTCGAGGCAACTCGAATTACAGATGCGATTATGACACGCCGATGCGAATTGCCAGTTCTAAGTGAGCCCCCTTTCGCTGCGACGGATCAAATTGAACACACATGGTCCGGCCTCTGGGAGTTGATTCGTAGACTGCAATCTCACTTTGTCTCGAAAAGATGGAAGCTATAAGTCAGAAGTTTTGAGTGGCAACTTCACGGTGGTGCAATCTCACTTTGTCTCGACCATATGATATGCTCATGTTATCAGAATTCTACGAATGACCCGCTTAAGCCGGTCACAGTGGCCAAGTGAAATACACAACTTATAAATCCGACCAAAAAAATCAGGAGCAACAAATAATTAATAAACGAACATATATAGTCGAAAAAATTAACTTTAAAGAGGGGAAGAGGAATTTGCTACGGAATCAAAGCCATCCATCATAACAGCTCTGTGGATGCCGCGCTAATGATGCTCGGGTTTCGTTAATTAATCACCAGCTCGATTCTATAAGGTAACTTTCCCTTGAGCTGTTGCAGAGCACGTTCTCTAGGTTCCTTCACTCTTTTCCTCCCATCCGAGAAATAAGCTTCGTCACAGGGACTCACCACTAACTTCTCCAGAGCAACGGCATTCTCGATAAGGTAATTCACTAGTTCGTGATCACACGGTCGACCATAATAATTGCAAAATTCAACCTCCTTCAGGTACCGATGGGGAGTTCTGATGACTCTTTCCAGTTTTCTCGGCCTGCATAGCATGTTTGATGGGAACGTGAGCTGCGGAAAAAGAAGAATGCCGTGTGTTATTAATCACTACAAGATATCGATGCATTGGAGAAAGAACTCGCAGAAGAAAGTATGTCTGTGTAGATTGTCACATCAAGCAAATACTAATCACATGATGACCCAACAACTCACTCATAAGCAGAGACTCGAATAGGATTCAACAATGACTTGGATTATTATATTTGATCCTACTACATCTGTCTAATGCCTAAATAGATGAAGATTTGAAAGAGGCCCAAAAACCCACCTCAAACACAAAACTTCGCAAGCAGGGACATGCCTCGACCACGAGAGTCAATGGTAGTAGACTCGCATCTCCAGATCCTTTAACTCTCAATTTTAATTGCTTGACACTTGTCAATTTAGGTAGTTGACGGATCAGCTGGTTTTCCTGCATATGAGAGAGAGAGAGAGAGAGAGTCAAAGACAATAAAGATTGTAGAGAAGAAAACCTTATGAATATCGGTCAGTGCTCTTACATCAGGTGAAGTAAAAAATTCAAGTTTGAGAACCTGCAGACAAGAAAGACTCGAAAGATGAGACAAGGTCTCATGCACAAGCTGCAACATAGATCCTCTAATAGACATCTCAGACAGCTGGGGGAGCTTGTCCAAACACAATGTAATTTGCAGTCCCAAGAAAGCGAACGACACGAGGTCCGTGTCATAAATCTCAACACAGTCAAGATAGTCACAACATTCTATGAGCAAGTATTTCAACTTCAATGATCGGCCAGAAACTCTAAGCCTACTCATAGTACGAGCATCAAACAAAGTCAATCGCTCTAAAACTGGACAATTGGCAAGCAATTGCTCAATGAGTTCTCCCTTCACAGTGACTCCATTTAAGGTGAGCTCTTCGAGATACCTCAAGCCAACATGCCAAGAACTAGAAGGGCTCAAGCCAAAATTACTTAGAGATGAAGTCCGTTGTGAGCACCCTGCATCAACATCCATAAGTGTCTCCTGTCCTAAGAAATATGGCAAGCTACTAGGGTCACAATCATTAATAAAATCCCCTGAAGACGCCGGCTCGAAAATTAGTTAGAGAACTTTAACTCGTTTTGCCAATGCAAAACTAATCCATATTGATGTAAGACTGATATGAGATATTCAGGTCGAACCATAACGCAAATCTACCTAAATTGTATCCTCTATTTTGATGATGCAAGACATTGTCCACCCATTCCACATATCTCGCCCTCTCCTTTTCTGCCAACTCGGGGTTATTTTTCATCCTGGCCAACAAGTCGGACCGGTCGAAATCAAGGTTGGTGACCCGACAAGTAGACAAATGCCTCCACCTTCGGGAAAGAAGACAAGTCGCTTGTGCTTCTCTGGATGTCAGAAGAGACAATATGAAGCCTATGACATCTTCGGGCAAACAGCTGATCCGATCCTTCGGGTCGAGTTGCACCGAGAGAGAAACAAAGCAAGGTTAGAAAAATCTCAAAACATAAGCAAAAGACTCAACTTCCTGTCAAGAACATGCATTTCCATGAACCCAACCAAGAAAAAAGCACAGCTTTTGCTCTATCAGATGATACATTCAACTGAGAATCCTCCATGGTAATCTGAGACGTGTGTATGCAACGTTGGCTTAGCGAGCAGAGAGAGAGAGAGAGTCTTGTTGCGACTGGTTCCAAGCTCAAAAACGAAAAGTTACCTTGCCGGCAGGTTCGTCGGCTTCGGAATCAGAGGGGAGCCTCTTTGGAGATGGAGAAGCCATGAACGCCGGCACCAGTTCACCTTGCAGTTCGTTTTCTTCTTCTAGCTTGACCCGATCACATACCGTGTCCTCAGGTAAAATTCCTAAAACACCCTCCGATTGGATATCTTTTTCAAATTTCCTGATCAGATATCTTTTTTCAAACCATGTATACAGGGATTCTGGCCAAAAAAAAAAAAGAATAAAAAAACCATGTACGAGGATTAACATTGTGAAAATTATATTACCACCAAAAAAAAGTCGTGAGAAATATATTATCGCTAATGGCATGTCTTAAATAATTTTTATTTTTTCACTTTGACTTTTTTCAATACGAGATACTCCAAAATATCATATTGAGATTTTAAAATGAGCAATGAAATATGATAATCTAATTGTTATCGTGAGATTCAAAATTTTTACCTAATTTGCGTTGTACTCATCCGCCCGAATCGCTTTTCAATCTCGAGCCGAACCACGGATCAGAGGCTTAATCCATCGTTCATATGATATAATTGTACTTTTAAAAAAAAAAATTTAAGATCCGATTGCATGTTTATAGATTACACCCAAGAAAAAGATGGCTTAGATCACGACCTTCAATCAAAGAAAAACCCCTAACAAACAGTACGACCTGTTCGCCAATTGCTAACCAAATTCTCGAGCATTTGCGTTATCATCTAAAATCAGCTTCAACTGAAATTTCCCTTTCCTATAGAAGAGCTCGTCATCTTCCGACCTGACGAACAATCTCAGGTTTTAGGCAAAATTCCTAAAACGCCCTCCGATTGGATATCATTTTCAAATTTCTTAATGAGCGATATCTTTTTTAACCATGTGAAGGGATTCCGACAAAAAAAATAATCATGTATGAGGAAAAACACCCTCCGATTGGCCATCGCCGGTGGTCGGTGGTTGGCTACTAGTGAAAAGAAAAGCAAAAAAAAAAAAAGAGAAAGAGAAAGAAAAAGAAAAAAAATGAGAAAATTTTATTTATAAAATTGTTCACGTTAGCAATGGTCATGCCACGTAAAGGAGCTGGCATCTATTTTGACGATTTCTGGTTATAATTGGCCGAATGAATTAGATCGACAAATCGTTAAAAATTTTAGGATTCAATTGGCCAAATTATAATATTTATGATTGAATTGGCACAAAAACAATATTAATTTCCCCTATTAGCACACACATATGACTTCTTTTTTTTTTTGGTCTCACACACATATGACTTGAGTGCATATGATATTCATAGCCAAATATATGGAAAAAGTACAACAAAAGTCTTAAACCTATTGCACTTGTGCTAATTCAATCATAAATTTTTCAATTGTGCCAATTGAGTCTTAAAATTTTTCACATTTTTCCAATTGAGTACAAAATATTTAGGACTAAATTGTTAAAAGGTTTAAAAATCAATTAGTACAATTGAAGAATTTAAGACTGAATTGATATAAATGCAATAAGTTGAGGACTTTTTCGGTACTCTTCCCTCGTATACATGGCACTTATCTATAACGAGCAATAAAGAATTTAATTTGGTTTGTTTACATTCCAGCTATGTCATTTGTCATGGAATCAATCGGCCACACGTTTCTTTGGCGTCCAGATAAATGATTTTTTTTCTGGAGGTCGTTTGATTGATCTCGGAAATTTCTCATTTTTGGATAGATTACTTGTTAGATTGATCTAATAAAGGTCACACATATGTGGACTAGGCTTGTCCACACGTCCACCTTTGCCCCATTCGCACATGTGACACGACCCAATGACACCTATGTAACCTCAATGTGATACTTCAATAATTTGCATAATTTGGGGGAGCAAAAGATTAAATGCATGGGGGAACCTAGTTATACCCGACCTCTTCGAGATAGACATTCAAAATGTTTTGAGTCGACACGAATTGCAAACGCGATTATGATATGCCGATGTGAATTGCCAGCTCTAATCTGAACTCGTCTTTCGCCACGACGGGTCAAATCGAACGCGCACGGGCCTCCAGGAATGACCCGACTTTGGCTTTTGGGAGCTGATTCGGAGACTACAATTTCACTTCGTCTCGAAAAAAGATGGAAGTTGAGTTCAAGTTTTGAGTGGCTCTGGCTTTGCAAATTCTTAAGATGATTAGCGGAGTGAGAGATTCCATCGCGGTTAGTCATGAAGAATATGTTCATCATCGATAATAATTGATTCCTAAATGTTTTCACGAATAATGAAAACGTTTATCGTTTATTCATTTTTGTAGGCAAATCTTTAGAGTTTCTCTTTTTGATGTAGAGCACACGAGCTGTTTATTTATAGTCAAATTTAAACGGGAACGGCCCATTTATATACTTATTGCGGACGTGCAACATACAAATTGATCATTTTAATCCGTTTATGATAAACTTAGGTATTATAATAAACATGTTATCGTCATCTACAGTCCATGCACTAAATTTTTTTTTTTTTTTTCAAAAAAGAGCAGCAGCTTCTCAATAATTGCAGCCGAACACAAGTCAAACCTATCCCTCCACATCCTAGTCAACCACATCCGCGAACGACTGCCCCTTTGTCTTTCGTCACAGATTCTGTTACGGAAGATCTCCCTCGAGAAATGGGATCTCCGGCGGCCGACCACCTCGAGCCGTGGCGCGACCTCCGCGGCAAGGTGGTGATGGTGACCGGCGCCTCCTCCGGCCTCGGCCGCGAGTTCTGCCTCGACCTGGCGCGCGCCGGCTGCCGCGTCGTCGCCGCCGCGCGCCGCGTCGATCGGCTCAAGTCCCTCTGCGACGAGATCGACGGCCTCGGCTCGCCGCCGGGCGCCGAGGCCGGGTCGGGCGGCCGGCGAGCCATGGCGGCGGAGCTCGACATCGCGGCCGGCGGGGCCGCCATCGAGAGGTCCGTGGGGAGGGCTTGGGATGCGTTCGGGCGTATCGATGCGCTGATTAACAACGCCGGGGTTCGCGGTAAAACTCTTCCTGCTTAACTTGTTTCGAATTCCAGTTTCTCCATATCTATTTTGTGCTAATAGTTGCTGAAATGGAGGAGGAGGCTGACATGATACTGGCTTGTCGTGTCGTTACGTGTTTGAGGAATTTCACCTGAGCTCAATTTTCAGTTTTACTTGCATTAGTTGATGGCTGCATTGGTTTACGCCATAATTTGAATCAGTGTGTTTGATTTGACATCGTGCCTTTCGATGTTGAAGCTGTCCGAGTACTCCAATTCGAACTTTAGACCGAATGGGTATTTGATTTGCGAGTAGAGAATAAGGAAATTATCTGACTGCCTGTTAATTCTCTGCGTCGCGTTCAACCAGAAAACTACATTCGGTTGTGCTTTCATGATCTTTAGACAGCGATCATACGGTGGTGGATGTCTAAGCAAAAGAAAGATCCGATCTTACCTGGGATGTCATTATCATGATAATGTATGTTCCGGTATCACAGAGTCCTTTAGAAAGATCTCTCTGTGAATCTCTTCCTTTTGCAATCGACTGGCTCATGTGAGTCCTCAGTCACCACACCATCGTGTAAGCATTTAGAGGAGAACGTATGTCGTATCGCGCGGCTGCGTATCAAGCACAAGATTCCATTGAAAGCAGAGAAATTGATGCTTATTCTTTTCCACATACCACCTAGACTGATGACTCATGGTCCTTTGGAGTATTGCGGATACACATACGAACTAGTGCAAATTAAACGACCTTTGATTCTGATTGAGTATGCCGGTTTTTTAATACGTTCAGCTCAGATATGGCCTTTTACCTGCGTCTGGATTCAATCAACCGAACTTCTTTGCTCAATAAGTGTTAATGACTGTTGTCTCTTTCTTTCCTTGTTTTTGACTCGTCAGCAACACCTTCATTTTCTTAAGTCCACTGCAGGCATCTTTGTGGGATTTACATGCTTCACACGCTCCTTTTGCCAATTGAAGTTTGCATCTATAAGCGAAATTTTTTTTTTTTTGTATTTTGCTATGGGGCCGGTACATACTTGCAATTCAGCACGATCACTGCATACTCGCCCTTGCTTGTTCCATTCTCCTAATTATATGCCTTTTTCTTTAGATGTGCTTCTTTAGGCAATTAATCATCCAAATTCTGGAATAGCACATGAAATGATCGTTCTTTCTTGCGACCCAGGATCTGTAAAATCTCCACTAGATTTGTCTGAGGAGGAATGGAATCATATTTTCAAGACAAACCTGACAGGATCATGGCTGGTGTCAAAATATGTGTGCATACGCATGCGTGATGCTCACCAGGGTGGATCCATTATCAATATTTCCTCTATTGCTGGTCTGAATCGAGGACAACTTCCTGGGGGCATTGCATATGCTTCTTCAAAGGCAGGCCTAAATACTATGACAAAGGTATAGATAACTTTAACATGGCAGGCAGTCAAGTCATTTGCTTTCCGATCGAATAATTTTCCGCTATACATGTGGAAAAGCAAGTTTTCCCTTTCAAAATAGAATCACTGGCTGCAAAAACTTCCTTTAAGCTTTTAGCAAACATGGTTTTGCCTTGGAATACAGTTATAGGACTCCTTTATGGATCCTATCAACTTTCTATTGCTTTGAGCTTGGTTTGCGGGTTTCACATGGTTGTCTAGATTCCATGAGACAACGGGAACAAAGTTTTGACCAAATGATGATATCATTGATAACAGGTCATGGCCCTGGAACTTGGGGCACACAAAATCAGAGTGAACTCAATTTCGCCCGGACTTTTTAAATCTGAGATCACGGAGGGTCTCATGCAAAGGGACTGGCTGAATAATGTGGCTGAGAGAACCGTCCCCCTGAGAACATTTGGGACCTCTGATCCGGCTTTGACGACGCTCATCCGCTACTTAATTCACGACTCCTCGGAGTACGTCACGGGCAACATTTTCATCGTCGATGCGGGGGCCACCTTGCCAGGAGTCCCTATCTTCTCTTCGCTATGAAGGGTATGACACCGGTACTTTTCCATGTGGCGAGGCAATCCCAAACAAATTATCAGAGTTCCTTTGCTGCGGGATCTTAAGTGTTCTTAGTTCTACTATGTTTACTTGGATCTAAGTGTTGCTAATATATGTGTTGATAATGAATAATCTGGCTTCAGCCATTTGAATTCCACCGGTACTGCAATCAAACATTATTAGGTTGTGATTCTAAGAAGATGAGCACAACCCTGACTATATATATATATGTCCTTTTGGTCTCTGCAGTTGAATGAATGAACTTCGATCCTGGCCTGGCATGGAAAACGGGGTATGTCTTCATGAAAACAGAGTAGACCGATTATGAAGAAGATATATAGATGTAGAGGCCTGTCTTTCATGGTTAGTCACCGCGAAGGAGATGAACTGTAAAATTAGAATTAGCCACATTTCAGTTGAGCAAGCAATATATCCTCCTTATCTCTCAACATTGGCAATTTTATCGGCAAGTCGTAGCCATCCAAACCCAAACGGGAATTAGTTTCGATGTTACCATCGTTTTGCCGATCAACATGGAAGAAAGGGAAGCCAAAACCACTCTTCAAATCAAAAATCGAAGTCAAATTAGAGAGAGGAGTAAGAGAAAGAGAAGCCAAAATCAATCGTAAATTGAAAATCGATGCCCAACTAGATAAATAAGCGAAAATCACTCTTAAAAATGAGAATCAAAGCCAAATTAGAGAAAGAAGTAAGAGAAAGAGAAGCTAAAATCACTCTTAAAAATAAAAATCGAAGCCGAATCAGAGAAAGAAGTAGGAGAAAGAAAAGCCAAAATCAATCTTAAAAAAGAAAATCGAAGCCGAATAATTAAAAAAGAAAAGCCAAAATCAATCTTAAAAAAGAAAATCTTAGTCGAATTATTAAAAAAAATAAAAAAAAATTTGGACCATTTCTCGATTTGTGCGTGTCATCCTTGCGCAGGGGCCATGCTAATCTTCTCTGTATCGTTCCAATTTTATCGGATGTCTCCGAAGAGACAACGTCTCTGGCGCCTTCCTCCCAATAAAAACTGTTCGGTTTTTCCTGACGACGGCGATGTGGGACTTCTTATGGTTCCAAAGCCCACACTCGGCTTATTGGGCCGGGCCTTTCCTTGTCGCTCACGGCCCATATGAATTTTCTTAATCTTTCGAATCCATTTCTCTCTCTTACGTTATCATCACTCGCCATCTTACTCCTGCAACATCGTCGCTGACGTCCGACACTCTTCTTCTTCTTCTTCTTCTTCGCCTCCTCGGCGACATCATCGTCCTCGAATCACCCGAACTTCTCTCCGCTGTTTATGCTTCGGACGGATCGTCGGGACATGTCGTGTGGGGAATCTGATTCGCGCGCGTAGCATTTAGAGACGAGATTTCTTCCAGGAAGAAGCTTCCATCAATCAGGTCGGTGCGCCTCTGATGAACTCAAAAAGCTCGCGTCTTCACGCTCCATTTGATCATCGGATTCGGAGTCCCTAGTTTGATTTTCGTTCGGTGGTGCTAATCTGCTTCGATCGTTGATGAACTGCTGCTGGCTGCTCCGTTTGAATCAGGTCCCTCTCGTGGAGTTGGCCATTGTTGCTGCGATTCGATGCTGACGCAGAGGGCTTTGGATAAGATTCCGCGGCGTGGCGCGCTCTTCGGTCGCGAGGTTGTTTCGCTGAAGGGCAACATGAGAGGAGCTTCTGCGTTTGTCAGTGCATCGGGCACTCAAGGTGGTGTGCCGGAGAGGCTTTCTTCCGGCTCCCGCGCATCCATGGCTGATGAAGAAGGAGCTGACGATTGTTCTCCCGAGGGTAGCGTTCGCTATTCGCGGCACAGGAGCGAGTATGTGACCAGTAGACTTCGTCTAATTCGGAAGATTGTTTTATCTGTCTGAGATTGCTGCTTAATGATTTGGTTTTGCATAAAAAAGTTTACGATCACGTCAAGAAATCAAATTGCCTCTGAAATTTGTTTGTTTTGTTGATTTTTTTTGAACATCTGGTTTATTCTATTTCCGTGGAACTTTGTCTTTTAGACATTGGATAATTCTGGTTCTAGTTTGTTTTTTTGGGTTGGTGTGCAAATGGGTTGGCGGGTCGGCGTTTCTTTCTACTGTGACTGATTGTCGGCTGGATAAATGGTTAGTTTAAATGATAAAAAGATGGATCTGTCTGATTGATAAAGCATTAATTGCTGCCACTTTCTTACGTTGTTTTGGAGATCATCAGGCTAGTTTAATGAATCGATCATCTTCATGCTTATACGAGACACTTGCATTTCTGCAGTCAGGGATACTCAGTACCTTGGAGTCGGTACTCAAGCAATAGGTATCGGGATACATTATTCAATCAAACATGTGGAAGTTTGGGTTGGTATCTTAAGGCCACAAATAACGTCAATGTTTGTGATGCTCGGTGTTTCTCAACTCGTGATTATACCAGCCATTGTGTTGAGAAGAATACAAGGGAGGGCGGTAAGGTGCAATCGTGCAAAAAATTGTATCTTTTAGCTTTTTGATTTGTTGCCCCGGCATGTTATCTTTGTGTTTATATGATTTTGTTGACGCGTGTCCTGTTTGGTCTCCTTGTTATAATAAGTCATGACATCAATCTTTTCGTATTGCAGCTTTTAGGAAGCATTCCAAGGTATGTGAAGATCGTAGAAGTTGGTCCGAGGGATGGATTGCAAAATGAGAAGGACATTGTGCCTACTAAAGTAAAGGTTGAGTTGATAAAAATGCTAGTCTCTTCAGGTTTGCCTGTTGTTGAGGCCACGAGTTTTGTCTCACCAAAATGGGTGCCGCAGGTAGTCAACCTATCTCGTAGAAATCTGGAGCCCTTTTCTGTTATGAAGTTTCCTTATTAATAGTTGTTTTCAATCTCTTTCCCATGCAATGAATTTCCTCTGTCTGTGATATTTTTGTAAATTATCATCCTACTTTTAAATAATTGGATGAGAAAAATTATACATATCCTTCAGATAGAGAAATAATAAAATACATAACGTTTAGAAATAGTGAGGATGTGTGCTACATTGAGTGAAGGGTTGTCTTGTTCCATATTATCATATCCACTTTCTTAGTCTTGGTTGATGAGGTAGAGCGAGTTTAATCAAATTTTCTTGTTGTCCTGTTAGTTGGAATTTTTGTATTCCTTTAATGCTTAGCCTTTTCGCTAAATTTTACCATGTTTCATTAGTTAGACCATATTGCCAATATAAAGTGCTGCCATCATGAACTTTATTGCGACTGAACAGCTAGGAGATGCAAAGGATGTTATGGAAGCAATTCGAAATGTTGAAGGTGCTAGATTTCCTGTATTAACTCCTAATCTTAAAGTAAGTATAGTTGAGTATTTAGTAACAAAGTTTATGTCTCCAGCATATGGGATCATCTGGGATGATGAAAAATTTCACATTCTTTCAGGGATTTGAAGCTGCAGTTGCAGCAGGAGCCAAGGAAGTGGCTGTCTTTGCTTCCGCTTCAGAATCGTTTTCCAAGTCAAATATAAATTGCAGCATAGAGGAGAGTCTTAAACGTTACCATGATGTTTCTCTTGCAGCTGAGAAGGCCTCAGTTCCTATCCGCGGGTAGCTCTTTTGACTTAGACTACTAATATGCAAAGAAGAGAAGTCGTCTTATCATTCTGGTCCAAGTGAATATTGTCTATTAAAATGATCTCTTTTGGAAGTGAAAACCAGAGAGATAGGATGTCGATATGATTCAAGTATTTTGAGCCTACTGGAAGAAATTGAAGAGAGATCTGCTCTCATTCATGTTGGTTTTAGGAAACAATTGTTTTTTCAAGGACACAGTGCAATTGTTATGTAACTTAGGCACAAGTCTAGTCACATAAACAACACATCTTGTGGTGGCGTTGGGTATGTGAGAAAATTGTTGGAACTGCTTTTGATATTGTAGATGGAGACCAATGAATTTATGGATTTATAACAGTTAGATATTATAATTGAACTTCTCTACACAGTGTCATTGTTGGTCTTGATCTTGGCCCACACATAGGCATGGCTAGAAGTACTATTCTTCTCCTTGTCGACCATTTTGGTTGTACAGCATCTATGTTAGTGATCACACTTTGTAGTTACGTACAGTTATCTTATTTCTCTGCTTCAGACGGGATAAACTTTCTTTTCATGCTTGTGATATATATTGCGTCACAAAACAACCTTCTCATTTTGGGTAAATTAATTTCTCCTACGAGGGCAAGACAGAATTCTAAAGAACGATTCTGCTACCTATATAGGATAAAATGTGTTGGCTCAAGAGAATTACATGGCAAATAACACTTTGTAGCTACTTTTCAAAAATCACTCTGGACATGCTTGGATTGATGAGACTAAGTACCCGTTATCCTCATTCACAACATTGGTTGACTCTCAAAGACATGTAGAAGAGGGGGAATGGTAAAGTCATGAAAGATGGAGATTGTGTGTGAAGGAGAGAGTGAGTCAAGAAGGATAGGGTGAGGCCTCCAACAGTTTGTAAGAGTAATTTTGAGCGATCAACATACTAAATTCCACTACTGTGAACAGTGATTATCCTAACAGATATGAGGAGGATGCATACTGTTACTTGGTGTGCCAACTAATAATATGAGACGTAATTTATTAAAAGTAGGGAATACCTTGTCAAATTATGAGAATCGCAAACAATAATTCTTACTAGCAAACATACGGTCCAAGTTTTCCAATATACTGGTTTTGCTGTTTCTTCTTTTGCAAATAGGATGTGACTGATTTAATATTTCATCTTCAGATACATATCATGTGTTGTGGGGTGTCCAGTGGAAGGAAAGGTACCTCCAACGAAAGTCGCATATGTGGCAGAAAAGCTATATGATATGGGTTGCTCTGAAATATCTCTTGGAGATACAATCGGTGTCGGTACTCCTGGTAATACTTAATTTATCTGCTCTATTTTTGCTATAGAACTTTTGGAACATTCTAATATTCTAACTCGTGCGACACCTTTTATTGGCCATCATAGATGAGTTGTTATCATCTCTATTTTCTTTCAGTGGAACAAAAGATGAGCTTTCTTGTTTTTATATATTCTGTAGAACTGTCGATTAGCATTTTTGAATCTTTGTTTAGTAAGTAACATGTGAATGGAAAGAGAAGGGGCTGATCAGAGACATTTCATCCATCTAAATCTGTATTAAATTCGGAGGCTGAGATTGTCATGTCTGAATGATCAGGGAGCATCTCTATGACTCTGCTTATGCCCTAGTTCCAGCAATAGTGGGATCGCATTATTTCTCAAAATGAATGCACATTGTTACATATTTTCTGTCTGTGCGAAATGCTGCTGATGTCCGCATCCTTACTTTTAAGCCTTGTGAAAAGTCTGACATGTTGTGCCGGTAGTTTGGGCATATAATGTTAAGTGTCGATCGGAGTGTGGTTAAACCAACATGCAGCATTGGGGTTTTAGGAAAGTATTATTTTTTTTTTTTACTTGACTACCTGAGCCATTGGTTAGATATACCACTCTAGAATAGTGAGATTATAAATTTGTGCTGGGACCAATGGGTGAAGGGACAGTTAATATGGAGGATGGTTAGATTTAGAAAAAGGACCTGCTAGGTGACTAGAATGTTGAACTGCTATTAATGCGATATTTGTGAAATAATGGGGGAAAAGAAGATTTAGAAGGAAAGTTCTGTAAAATTCAAATTTTAGCGAGTAAGAAGAGGTGGGAAAATTTAAGATAAGGGGTATTTCTTTGCATTTTGTCCCCATGGGGTCCCTCCATGGAGGGCTTAAATTATTCTTATTCCTATGTTCTACTTACTTTGACCTCTTACTTAGTTTTGATCTTCTTTGACAATGTAGGTTCTGTGGTCCCAATGCTTGAAGCTGTTATGAATGTTGTCCCTGTTGATAAGCTAGCTGTTCATTTTCACGATACTTATGGACAGGCTCTTTCAAATATTTTAGTATCCTTACAAGTAAGCAACTTTTTTAATAAATTGAGTTCAGGACGTCTTCTTGCATTTTTTCAGAAACTTAGGAGGTTGAGTGTGATTTAACAAATGTCCGCATTCCTGTCAGTGAAATCATCAGCAAACCACTTTTTCTCCATTCAACTTCATAATAGCTTGGTGACTGATAGTTCGAACAAGTTGTGAAAGGTAGCATCTTTGAAAGCTGCTATAATGTCTTTCATTTTTCAAGTGAGGAAATTCAGTACTTTCGAGTGCAGTCGGCTAATTTTTTCTGCCTTGCCCGTGATAATTGTTCAATACCAAAACCGTGTTCAAGTTTATGAAACTTGATAGTAAGGTAAGCCAACATAAGAATGAAATAAATTTGCACTAACTTTTAGGATGAAATAGTTATGAATCAACAAAAAATTAAACAATTCAAGTCACTTGACTTCTTACTTGAGGGCATCTGTATGTGCTTACTATTTGAAATTCAAAAGTTTGTTTAAGGCAGGTAAAATTATGCAGTCAAGCTCAAATTTCTCCCTTTTCTCATCAGTGTGTGCCTGCAAAGGCATCATGTTTACATTTCACCATCTTTTGGAGCAATCACTTTTATGCATAGTTCAATATGGTGTTATGGTTCGGAGGTCCTCGTGTTTGATTCCTCATACTTGCATTTCTTATACTCTAATTTAGAGTTTAGATGTGATAGGTTTTAATATTCATTGTCCTATCAGTCTTTCTTGGAGGGAGAGTTTAAAATACACAAATTGTGCATCCAGTTTAATGGAAATACGTCATGTGTTTTTTTACTCCACTGTATTTCTTAGCTGTCGTTTCAGAAATAGGGATAGATTGATCATCTTTTTCCATTTATGCACAGATGGGTATTGCAACAGTAGATTCATCAGTCGCTGGCCTTGGGGGTTGTCCATACGCTAAAGGTGCATCTGGGAATGTTGCAACGGAGGATGTTGTTTACATGCTAAATGGACTTGGAGTGAAGACCAATGTGGACCTCAGGAAGGTCATGTTAGCTGGGGATTTCATCTGTAAGCATCTGGGACGTCCGTCACGTTCGAACACCGCAACTGCCCTTAGCACAAGCACAGCTCATGTGTCTAAGCTTTAAGGTACTTGAGAGAGCCATAACATTTCTTGCTTACTTTCAAGTTTTAAGCTGTGGTAACTGTACTGCGACACATAAAGCAGGGGCAAATTCCCCGTTTCATTTAAATTTCTACTTTGGCCTGGACTGTTTCCCCAAGACCTCTCTCTGTTGTATGATTTAACATACTCTGACTAGTCTGCTTTGAGCTTGAATTGGGGGGAGAGAGAGAGAGAGAGAGAGAGAGAGAGAGAGAGAGAGAGAGAGAGAGAGAGAGAGAGCTCCTGGAAAGTGCACATTTTGGTGCCTCAGATGTCCCACGAGACCCTTCGTAAGCAGCAAAAGGTGTTCTTGTGGAAAGGAGCGAGTATTGATGAGAATGTCGGATGGGTTGGTGGGTCGGAGAAGGGTTGGTGATCTGCAATATGAGACATAGACCGAAAACGAAGACTGCATTAAATACCTCTTTTAAAGCTCTGAGAACTTGTCCTTCAGAGGTGGTTGGCCCCGAGGCATTTGGACAGGGGACGCAAAAACCCATTGGTGAATGCAAGGATGCAGCAGCGGCGATAAAGGACTTCCGCTTTCTAGCCTAAAAGAACAATTTCCATAGAAAGTGTCCCTTGCAACCAATCCGGAAAACTTCACAGTTTCAAAGCAGTTATTAGGCATAACACAAGACGGTCAGTACATTGAGAACTATAAAACTTCCTCAATTAGTTGCTAAACAAGCGACTTGAGGCACTCTTTAACAAAATCCTCTTCATGCATGCCGTACGTATAGTCTTATCAATTAATTATTGATTGCGAATTGATAACCCGAAAGAAACGAGAAACGACGTTGCAGGTGGAGTTATGAGTTGTTCATAATACATTCTGGGGTCTCGTAAACTCTTGAAGGCAGTTCTCTTGTTTTTCTGGCAAAAGAGCTTTTGAAGGCTGTCGGGACCCAGTTTTTGAGGAAAGCCTCTTTCAAGTGTCCTGCCATTTGGTCTGTTTAATTGATTAATGGAGAATCCAGGTCTCCCAGGGCTTCTTGAAGTATTGTACCACATTATATTTAAATAATACGAACAAAAAGGAAAGAAAAGAAAAATTCTCTATACATGTTGGATCACACCAATTGAGGATTATCAAGAGCTAATTTTTCTAATCAAGTGGGAAAATTGGCTGTAAAAGATTGCTTTATGCAGGAGTTTAGGGGATGGTACCCAGTAATTTTCTCTCTCTCTCTCTCTCTCTCTTTTAAGGAGACTGTGAGACTATGTAAGATGAGAGTGTTACCCATTTCTTAACAAGTAAAGAAAGTGCTTTTCACACCATTAAGTGCAAACAAATTTCACGTCGAAGTCTACTTTTCATTTTCTGCATTACCTTCTAGGAGCCTTGTGGAGATATTGAGAGAGAGAGTTCTCAAGATTTGTTGTTATCTTGTTAAACATGGTCTTTTGGTAATCAAGTAGACTTGTTGCTCTTGTAATCTTCCGAGTAAGTTTTTGCACAAACGATAAAACGTAAATCTTACTGCGACTGTAGAGACGGTGTTCAAGTATCCTCTTCATAACAGTTATAGCTGCAAAAAGGAAGTGTCGCGACAGGTCATGGACCGGTCATGAGCTGAAAGATTGCTCCCCTGAAAGCACAAAACGGCGAAGGCCAACTCCGCGTTGGAATTTAATTTTTTTTTTGTCATTCATATCACTAATTCTTCTCACTCTCAGATTTTTGCTTTGCCTCTTGCAGAGCGCGAAAGTCGAACCCGCACCTATGATACTAGCATTCCCACCCCCCAATCCCTTTACCAGCAGGGCCACATGCCTACTGGCCGTTGGAATTTAATTTACACTGCATGCATGCATGGACGGTTTGGGCTATTGTCCGGGTTTCATTATAAATGAGACATGACACATGAAACCAGTCTGCTTGCTCACCTGCTGCCATAACCAGAGCTTGGAGTTTCAGTTCTAGTCCTCGCAACCGTCCAAGAACGCCATGTATTCACTGAAATGTATTTGGTGGCTACGTCTGCTTTCGCAGTGACCCAAATTTTTGCTCATGCATGGAAAGAGATATCTCAACGTAAGAGACCTGGGAATCAATTGGCGTTCACACGCAGGCAGGGACCAGAGTTTTCTCATACTGCATGATTGGTCGCTGTTCTCTCAGCTGGTGGAGATGGTTCGATCACATTCGCTTTTTTCATTGAGTTGCGTACAGTTCTTTCTTCGTCACGTGAACGTTATGTATCAAGCGTACAGCTTTGACTCCATTTCCTCGTTTTGGCAACATCTTGCAAACGTACCTTAAGCTCTTTTCTTTGGGGTTAAAACTCATGAGAAAAGGATTCCGTAAGTACCATAATTTTAGTGCGGCGCTCACTTGAGAGCTGTGACTTTTTTTTTTTCCTGATCATTCGAGTGTCATATAATTTTTTAATCGATTAGTCGAGTGCCATAACTTTTTAAAAATACTCATCACAAATGCCATGCCAAGTTGGATTTCCGATATCTGGGTGAATCTTTTTAAAAAAAGTCATAGCATTCAAGTGATCAATTAAAAGTCATAATACTCAAGTGAACGTTTTTTTTTTTATAGAAATTATGGCACTCAAGTGGTCAGAAAAAAAACGTCATGGCATTTAAGTGAGTGTCGTACGAAAGTTGTGACACTTCTGATGTCCTTATCCTCTCTTAAAGTTGATTCGATCGTCGTTTTGGGAATGGGTTGGTCGTGCACTTGGAATCAACTGTTTGAAACAAGTTGAGTGAACATTTTTCCTATGACTTGACTTACTTTAAAAAATCCCAACGTTCTTTAAAACAAATCTAAACTCGAGATTAGATCGAAGACGACATTGTCTGATTCCACTTGGTGTAAATCAAAAGATAGCTATGAGGAATGAGAATGCAGTACAGCAATGACACACGCTCTTGACCACTAAAGACCAAGGATAAAAGAACCTGATATAGCGCTTTTCTGCTTCATCAATGATGAATAACACACCACAACCACCACCCAACTCACCAGTGCAAAAGCACAGGCTGGTATTCGAAATCATCAACCCTCAAGCGATAGTGCGTGAGCCCGTGCGCGTGCCTATCCCTTCAAGTTATATTCGTCAAGTATACAAGCACTTTGTTCTCAGTATTACCCAACTGTTCCACAGAAGAAGACCACAATAAGTATTCATCGGTCGATTCCAATGTAACAAGTATACAGCTGAACTTTCTTGGTTGAGCCATCTGCGTTACATCTTAATCGGAAATTAGTCTTTCTGATCAGTTACGGTGCACACCATTCACTATGGCCTCAGAGCATCGACAAGTGATTTTTATAACATTGAAATGCACAAGAAAGGGAGGGGCCAAAAGAAAAGGAACATACAACAATTGCCAAAGCTTGCTTGCTTCATCTACGTACTGACCATCCGCATTAACCTAGCTATCTGTTGTGGAGAGGATTTGGACCTGTGTGGACTCTTCTTTCTTGAGCACGGAAGATTCTATCGCCATCATCTTCGCGTGCATGGCCTCCGACTTGAGATTCAACACCCTTCTTCTTCGTTGTCTGGGACACATTATTGACCGACCCGCTTTCAGATCTCTTCGGCCTTCCATGTCCGTGCGCATCGTGAACTGAAGAAGAGGAGGTCTCTGATGAGTGCAAGAGCAAGAGGAGGAGAAGAGACCAGCATGCCAATGCCAGCTTTCTTCTTCTTCTTCTACTACCACCAAGTTTCTTGGAGTTGGAGGAGACACAATCCATTTTTTTCAGGAAGACAATTTACTGGAAAGAGAGCTCTTTTATTTGTGTCTCTGGTCCTTTTGAGGAAGTGAATGTTGATAGTGGAAGAGAATGAGAGGGTGACATGTGACTTGGGGTCATTGAGTTGCTGTTGAGAGAGCTGTGTCTTTTTTTTTGGGGGTGATTTTGTTTGCTTTGGAAGCCTTGGAGTTTGGGGAAGGAGAGAAGAGGGTACATTCAATGTGGAGTGAGAGTCAACACGCATCGGACTTGCTGCTTATTAATTTAAGGAGAAGAAAAGTCAATAGAAAATGGGTCATACCAGTGGGTGTCTCCATGAGACTAGCTAACCTGTCTTTAGGACACTCGTTAAGCATATCAAGTAAGGAATAATTCAACCACCGAACTCTCGACCCAATGGCCAAGGATGGGATGTGAGAGATGAGAGGTTCAAATCGCTTAGGTTTCCCTTTTGCCTCACGAATTGATGCATATGTGGAGGTGCCGTTTCGATTCTACCTTCTAGTGTTGTCCATCTTACGGTGTCGAGTTCGTATCCTTTCTCACATATTCAGTTTTGACTTATTCGGTGATAGGAGTTGGGATCATCTCGACCCACCATGATGAGTGGTTTTGGCCGTAATCGTTATAAATAAGGACGGTATGAGCTACTCTAATATAAAAATTAACGGAAAACACATATAACATTGATTAAACATAACACGAGAAAATTAAAGCATCGAAAGCATCAGTTTTCTCTATTTAGTTAGTTAACAAGTGTATCTTAAGGACAATTTCTTAAATATTTTAAAAGATAGATGCTCATGAAAGTCTTATTTGTCTGACTCTGTTTGTGAGAGGGAGGAACTTTTTTAGGTAGATGTTCCTATCTGTGAAATGTGCACTACTCCTCCTAGTAAAGTAATGAATATTTCCACACGTAGGAAGACAAATTTTACCGTGCCTCCCCTGTTTTATAGAGATGCGCCCACCGTAACTGTACTGTTTAATCACAAGAGAAGCATGGAAAGCTGGATTCCACTTATATCAACCAGCAATTATATGTTGAACCCGCTTCTTGGTTGCAACATTTTCTTCAACAAAAAGAAGGAAACAAATGAGCCACATATGACCTATTTACTACGTCAATATGGGCCAGCGATTGTTAACACCGACGTGGTAGGCCAGTCGTTTAGGGATTGTGCTCTCTTCCACGGGAAGACGGGGTATATCACGTTGTGAGTGAATGCCGGGCCAGTTCATGCCTTCAATATATACTACCTCATGGGGAGAGACTTCTTGACTTCTGGCATTGCCGATTGGGTTGCGGTGACGAGATCGTATATCTACGAATAGACTGAGTAGCTATCATTCAAATCGAATATTTTGTAGTGGGTGCAGGGCCCTCATGAAAATACTCAAAAGAAGAAAGTGCGCTTATTGCCCCCTACCCACCTGATAGCTCATTAAGAAAAATGGTCTAATGATCATTGCAACCAAATTTAATCGTCTAAATTCATTGGCTCAAAGCCTTAAATTGCCATCCGAGAGAGCTGACGCAGTTCTCATAACCTATGATTACTGTGATGATATAGGATTGAAAAGACATGTATAAATATATCTACCATGGAATTTACGTATAGAAGCGAAAGGAATGTGATTAACATAATTTTTCAGACAATAACCTGCGTGTCTCTTGAGGATGAGAACAAATGAATATCACATCCCATTTCCTCTTCCCGACGACGTAGGAAAGAAAACAGTACACCATAGGAAACGCAAAGACAATTGAAGACCACACTCACGAGAGACACAGACGACCCTGGATGCATTCATATTAATATGTTATAAAAGTCTAGTGAAATTTGCAATCGGATCGCTCAATTTTAATTTCAATCATCTAGTAGGTTAGTTTTCATTTTTTTTCGAGTTTGATGCATTCGATAGGAGTACGGCTAATCTTTTGACCGAATATCGATGTGGCCAATAAGTGGTCATTTCTATAAACGTCGTAACGTTGCTACATGGCCGCCTGGCCGACACTTCAGTTAAAGACTCATGATTCCCCGCTCAAGGTGCATTGAATGAAAAAAAAAAGGACAGAGAAATTTTTTGTGTGATCATGATCGAAATTTAGCAACATCATTCCAAACTAATGTAGTTGAATAAAAAATAGAATTTACCAAAGTTTAATTACATCATTCCCACCTCAGACCAAAGGACGGATGGGTCGGGGGTATGTGAAGTTGAGAATGGAGTGAATAACATGCAGTGGGCCGCGGTCACTTTCGCATAAGAAATGATGATGTTTTCTAAGCACCAAATTATGTTATGGAAAAAGAAGAAAGGCACTAGATTATGCAGGAAAAAGAGGACTCCATGAAAGTCATGGACCCTTTTCATGATTTTCCAATATGGAAAAGTGAGACTCGGTAGATATTAGACTGTATGATATGTCCCATGGAGATAGGTCAGAGACAAGCAGAACGTGCCCACCAAGCTTTCGCAAATATCCTGTAATTTTTACGGTTCCTGAAAGGGAAAAGGACGCAAATGACGAATGAACTTTAATCTTACGTGTAATGTGAAGCCTTAATTTTTAATTTTTTCCGTAAATTATAACCTAATACGCAATATGGTCCCTGAATTTTTGATATGTTCAATATGGTCATTGGACTTTCGATTCATATTTATTTTAGTTTCTGAATTATATGAAAATATTCATTGTTACCTTTGAACTTGAATTAATGGAAGGACAACAGGGACTAAGTTGAACATGTACCAAAAATTCATGGACCACATCGAACAAATTAAAAGTTTAGGGATCACATTACATATTGGGTTACAGTTTAGAGACCACATTTAACAAATTCAAAGTTCATGGACCACGTTGCACATTGAGTTAAAGTTTATGGTTCATTTATATCATTATTCCTTCCTAGAACTATATAGGATTTATCCTTTTTGTTTGTGAAGTAGTGCTACTTCAAAGCGGGTGCGAGACTCTACGATTGCGTCTAGAGAATGTCGCACATAGTAGGCCGGCCTTCCCCAACCTTTTTGGTTTAGGGCCATGTATTGCTCTAACCCGGATTGGACGAAACTCCTTTCGAGCATACTTATAATTGGTGGATTACGAATACGGACATCACTCACGTTCAATTCGGTGCCGGGAGGGGGGGAAGTTTCTTGCGATCGTGGTTGAAGGAAAATATTACCCTCAGGTTTATGAAAAGCCCGGCGCGATGGGCATAATGTCAATGTGACGTCCTACAGGCAATGAAGAAGTGTGGAAATAGTAAGCAACTAAGCATATGCGGATTAACATTGATAACCCTTGTATCGAAACAGCAGTTGGGAGTCCGCAGTACACACATCACCTTGGGGGGATGCATGCTCGACAGGTTCAAAGGGTTGGTGTTGAGGAGGATCAGACGTCAGATCTCAATTTAGGGTTATCAAATCAGAACAATAAGGAAGTGGTCTGACCTGCCATAATTAGCCAAGCTGTCTCTTAATGATTTCGATCTCTCGATGATTAGTCTCCTATTATAGCAGCGACAAGAACTAATTATCTGGAGGAAGCTCAAGTGCCCTCCTTGCATCAATTCTCAAAAGGTGAGAAGTCACAATCTGCTCGGCTCCACATTGATCTCCTACAGGACTAATCAAGGAGATGCCCACAGTGTCGCTGTAGGAATCATTGGTATGTCGCAGATCATGTTATTCAAACCAAACAAGACAAGAAACACTACACAAGATGTAGCCCCTACTTTTAAGTCATACACTCCTTAAGAATTCGTTAATTGATCGCAATCCTAAATAACATAGATGCTTCAAACATGACTCAGTCCACTTAATTTAGTTTGAGGCCCCAGCTATATTGTCTTTGTTGTTTCTGCATTTTTTCTCTCTCCCTTTTTGGGGTTCTGAAGATTTTGTCATCTAGAATGAGTAAATTGCATTCCGTAGCCAGATTACCTCACCTTCCTATAGAAAATTCGAACTTAGTCACAGAAGCAGAGTCGGTATTCCGCACTTTTGACTGGACCTGTCTGTGGGTCTAAGCTCAGGCCGTCCAGGATGAGCAGGTCTGCTATGGCCTCTCATACTTAAGGCTCTGCCGGAGCTGGACCTATTTAAGGTTGGTCATGGGCATATGAGGACGTCATGAAGCTGAGATAGTTCCTGAAGAAACAGAGAACAGAGGTGTGGGTGATTATTTACACTAGTCTCTCCGCTCTCTATACTTTGGTCTGGGATATGCTGCCCAAGCCTTTTCTGGCACATGTTCCCGCGCATTGCACGTATGATCTGATCAATGTGATACCTAAAAGGCCATGGTTGGACCTCCGTAGATGTCATCTTCCCAAGCTACTCTCTCGCCAGACTGCAATGCACTCCAAATCGGTGTGCTACTTGCATCCAAGAGATCTCATGGCTTTGTTACCATATACCACAGATTAATATGATCCCAGCTCACACAGAGCCTATGGGTGTCATCATCTAATTTTAGGATACATTCACATAGCATACCATCGTTTCTTGCCCAATGTATGTCGAACTCCAGGTTTTGCAGTAGTTTCTCTGGTAAAAAAAAAAATCAAGCGGTTGACCTGTCTTATCCTCTGCAACTTATGAGCTTTCCTTCTATAGGTACGGGCCACAAATAGAAAAGAGGAGAATGATGTTCCTCTATGCCTTTAACTATAATTGGTGAAGTTTTTAAGATGATCAAATCAACAACGATGTTGAGAATACCCACTTATTCATAACCCATTTCTATCCGTCTGTCTATAATCTCATTAAAAGCTTCAGTGCTTGGAAACATTCACAGAACACCTGAATTTCAAACATTTTTACCTTGAAAACTGAAGAACTACGAAAAAGGATCATTATCCCCATGTCTTGATTTTAATTATTAATGAAACCGAAATTTCCTGAGAATACGCAAATTGCTATTTTTCTCTTACTCTCGGAATGATAGTATGTGATACAGAAAGCAGCACTGGGGAAGCAAACAGTGATTTTGGAAGAAGCCAAGAAATGCAAATCTGAAACATGGTGAATTTGATGTTCTCTGCTAATCAAATCAGATGAAGTCCAATTTTGGTAAACTTAGGACCACTTAATATTATTGTGGTTATTTTCCACAGCAGACTCCGACGAGAGCCCTTCTGGTAATGGTCTCCCTCCCAGAAATGAACTAAACAAGACCAGCGATCTCTCCGGCTGAGAAAATGGGGCTTCATGAGACGCCCCTCTGATTGTCGCATATGATAATATATCTCCATACACTTGTGTCCAACCAGCAACCTAAGAAAAATGAAGAAAAAGGGCTTTAGTCGTCAATCACCTATTAAAATCAATGGGAGGATTGACGTTCATGAAAGTTGATTGCTGAGCCGACCTGTCTTTCCTCGAACCAGACTCTATGAGGCACTGTTGTGTTCAGTCCCAATTGCTTTGCTAAGTTGTTCACTATAGTCCTTGTTCCGATTAACGGAATAGCAGCATCTTGATCCCCGCTGTTGACATTGCAAATGGAAAATCGAACCGACGTTGTTCCTTATACAATAGCCCCTGAAGTGATATACCAATTCCGAAGAATGCCATTTCTTTGTTTACCTGTAAACTAAAACGTGGATTCCTGACTTCACTAACTCCCCCAAAATCGAAACGGTGGGTATCTCCAGATTTTGCCTTTCATATTTGAGAACACTGTAGCACACAAGAACTGAGGGTAATAAGACAAAGAAGCATGACTTGAGATAAAGAATACAAGTCAAAGAACGAATGATTAAGGACTACTCAATTGAAAGTTCAGGAGAAACCACGTCATAAATGAATATTTAGATAGTCTAGAATCATAACTCGATTAATGTTAGGAAGAACCAATCATATAGTCCTGTTAAGTGTTAACGCAACAAGGTCCCGGAGAATCTTGTCCGGAAATTGGGAAATGTGGATCTAGTTTGACAAGAATCCCCAGATTAGTCACGATGCCAGCTATTCATGAACTTGGGCCTCACGAAGATGAAGGTCCAACGAGTTAAGTTGATCCTTACCCGCTGCAAATTGTCCATCTAGAGATTCCGACAAGCCGAGCATGTAGAGCCTCCTGCACTTCTTTCCTGTTCAAGTACTTGGTGGTTTCCTCTTGTACACATACATCTATCTTCTCTGTTTTTTGCTGGAAAAAGCATAACCCAAAAATTCGAAAGGTTGCAGAAGGGAAAAATAAACAAAGTACATCAGAATGGATAAAGTGGCTCACCAGCTTATTCAAAACCGCGGACTGTGAAGAAACTGTCGACAAACAAACATCAAGAGTGACATCGTACCCATCGATGAATGCGCTTATTTCACGCAATGCTTCGCTGAAGACACGAGAACAGACGGGGGTGAGGGTGCCGCTCTGTCTTTGTCTTATAATTTGGGAGAAATTGCATATTGTGTTGAAACTTCCGTAGGTTGCGTCTGATATCAATCCGTGAGACCATAAAAACTCTGCCCGTGAGTTGAAATCAGTGTTGAACTCGAGAAGCGGATTTCCTATCTGTAGCGAGCATAAGATTTGTTCATCCGAGTCAGTATCAATCTAATACATGTGACATGCTTATTTAAGTTCGCAGATTTTTCAGTCAAACTCACAGCAATTCCCTTCAGATTGAACAGCTTGGACTGCACGATGAGCTTTGCTAGTTGTGGAACATAGTGACCTGGTAAGAGTGAAAATAGATAGAAGTTAAATTCTGCATTCATGGTGCGTCCAATTCAGTCAACCACGCCTGTCGGTGTTCACAAAATTTTAATCATTAGTTCACCTGCATAGCTCTCTCCTGTGATGAATAAATCTCTGTCCTTGTATTCCGGGAATTTTTCAAACCAGTTGCAGAGGAATGCGAGATTGTCTCTTGCTGAAATGTGGAAGCATTGTTTAGCTGGTATTAGTATTAATTTCAGCTTCAGATTAGATCTGTAAATCATAGTTGCACTTTTATTTTGGTCGGGAATAGTCGCACTTTTATTTGCTAAAAAAATATGGTAATCTGCGAGGAAAAATAACCTGTCATCTTGTCATCGACGGAATTGTAATAAGAATTATTAACAGAGTAGGAGAAACCGACTCCTGCCGGGGATTCGAGATACAACATGTTTGCTTCTGCAAATAAATTGAAAAATGTGAGAATTAACCAATCACAGAATCTTCGCAGTCGGGACTACATTACAGCGAATGGGATCAATCTCATTTTAACCATTGCAAAGAACATATCTGATACATAGTCCGAGTCAGTTTCCTATCGACTTAAGTTTTTGCAACGAGAGACAACATGTTCATATTCGTTTAAGCTACTAAAAGTATATGCTTAATCCTTTATTTAGGGAATCTACGCTTACCTTTATTCCAGCTATAGTGATTTTTCAAGAGCACATCTTTACTGGGCTTGAAGGGTCCATGCTCACTGAAAGCACCAATTCCAACGGATGAACAACCAGGCCCTGCAAAGTGCAACCCCAACACACAAGCAAACTCCATTGCTTTTCAACCTGCTCCATTTCATTTCTCACCATCATTTACTCGAACTCAGTCCAGATGGTTTTACCTCCATTGAGCCAAAGCACGAGAGGCTTTGAATCCGGGTTGGCTTCGGCTTCGGTGAAGTAATAGAAGAGAGCTCTCTGTTGCTTCTCGTCCACGGTGATGTACCCTGCATACTGGCTGAAGCTAACCCTGGGCTGTCCCGGCAAGCTGACGATCTTGTCAGCATCTGAGATGGTGTTCAGTGTCGAGCTTGAGCAAATTCGGTTCAGTGTTACACAGAGTGTTGCTGCCATAAGCCATGGCACCAGTTGAGGATGCATCACGAGAGAGAGAGAGAGACGGAGAGAGAGTAAACAAAATGCCGGCAAAGCACAGAAGAGGAGAATATTTGGGTGGTCGAAACGCAAAGTTTGACCATTTTGCCGAATTCTGCCGTTTGGCTCTTCTGTTTCTCGCATCTTTGCTTTTTGGAAGACACATTTGTTGTTTTCTTCATTGACGGTGCTTACAAGAATAAATGTTGGGTTTTGATGTGGAAGAATGAAGTCTTTTATGTAACATGACATGATGTAGAGTGTAAAGTAGCGTCTCCTGCGAAAGGAAGTTACCTCGTGTTTGGTGAGGAAATAACTTATCTGCTTGAAATATTTTATTTTCTTTTTGAAGGAGTTTAAATGAGCGTTGTAGTAGGATTCAACTAGAATTACCACGTTTAGACTTAGAAAGGACGAGAATTTCGAAAGTTGTTCGAGATGCCCCGGTGACTCAAGCGTAATGGCCTGTATAAGTTTCAAGGGGAGACGGTGATCGATTTCGCCATGGGGACGTCGGATACATCTATTGAGAGTCTAAATAATTGAATGTGTATATGTGGCACATTGGCGAGAGAAGTCTAGAGGATCTGAGTGAAATGAATTTGATGTATGGTTATGTAACTAAGGAACTAGGTGTTCTGACTTAGGCAAACGATGGAAAGTGTAGTTCAATATGACTATTAAACAGACCACATATATTGCAAAATTGATTCACTCGGATGTTCACAAACTATCGCAATTTCCTTTGAGAAACAGTGCCGAATCTATACTTACAATTGTGACTGACTACTAAAAAAGGACCTAGGTCTTTGTATTGAGGCAGAAGTTTAATGCTATTCGCCAGAATCAGGCAATTGAGAGTTTTGATTGAAAAATAAATTAGTAAGACCACTAAGCATGTACAAACTAACAACAACATCGAGTTTTTCATAGAGGTGTTAAATGATTATGCATGAAGAAAGGTATAATGAGATACCATACTAGTGCTAGTGAATCATAGGTTGCAAAATTAATGAATAGAACACTGCTAGAGACTGCCCATAAAATGCCATCTAGTGCTGGCATGACTAAATTTCTGAATAATGGGCTTAATACATCGAGTTGCCTAGTGAATAAATCTCATTGATTGATGCATATTCTTCGGGTATGCACCAAGTGAGCGAGACTATTGGTTGTGGCGTCCCGAATCATATTCACATGTTCGCAAAGAATTTACATTTGACAAGCCTCTAATATTCTAGTGGGAGTGGTTTGTGATGGTGTTTATACATATTTGAACGGTTTTCGATTTAAGGTGGAATTGCAATGTGAAACTCTTAAGGTGGTGACCGCTTGAATGGTAATCAATATAGATGTTATTGTAGCAAGGTGAAGCTTATAGAGCCAACTGTTATTGTAGCTGCTAAGTTTGATAAGGTGCGTGTTTGGTCTCTTGACAAATATGGATACAATTGTGGTTTTGTTTTACTTGTGATTGAGGAGGTTATGTCTGCAGTTATTGTTGAGCAATTAAAGGTGCGGGTAGAGTTGGTATCATGATGAGGTACATGCTTATGGCACGGTTTGCATAGCTTACACTTGGAAGATGTCTATCGTGGTTGAGGAGCTCATGCAGGGCTATGGGAGAATTATGATGAAGTTCGGATTCCAGTGAATCGACTATGACTTGGCTCCAAAATTGAGCCAATGTGCAAATTATCGAGTATATGTCTCTAGTTTAAGTTCGTTAAGGAACCTAAACCAAATAGAAATTTCAAATCCAAAAAGAATTTGTGGTTTGACGCCCGAACTAGTAAGATTTTATGGAAATATTTTCCATGTTAGAGTTGGATTTCTAGTTTGAGTTGATTTCTGTCAGCTGAAAAGGGTTTATTTTTTGGATCCAAATATTATGTGTAAGAAGTGGGTTTTAGTTTTAGGACATTATAGCATAGGAGCTTTTTGGCCATAACAATCAATTGTGCGGCGTGCTTATGAATTTCAACTAGAAGAAATTGCAAGTGTTTTGAAGTCAATAAATCTTGTGGTAAGATTTTATGAATTCTTTTGTGAGATTGAGAAATTATTTCGCGAGCGATGAATCGTAAGGCTAAACACTGTGCGGGTTTTTGAGTGCTTGAGTGACTCGATTATGATGGTAATCTCTTTTGTATTGCAAGATCTATGGTGAAATCCTAAATAATGTTGATAAATCAGATTTCTAATTTATTTGCTTGTATTATCTTTTCTATTGTTTGGTCGCCTATCTTTCGCAACAACCGCCACAAATGGTTACGCCTATCTCAAGCACAACCCAGCCCAGCCCAAAGAATGTTGCGCTGCCCACCCAAGCAGGTTTGCTATGACCTCTCCTGGAGCTAAACCTATTTCCAAGGGAGGTCATAAAGCTGAGATAATTCCTGAAGAAACTGAGAACAGAGAGGTGTTAAGTGATTATTGACACAAATTTGTCTATTGGCTCTCTATACTTGAGACTTGGTCTGGGATATGCTGCCCGAGATTTTTCTGGCACATGTTCCCGTGCATTGCACTTATGATATGATCAATGTGATACCTAAAAGGCCATGGGCGGACCTCCATAAGTGTCAGCTTCTCCAGTTTCTTTCTCGCCGGACCGCAATGTACTTAATGTAATATTGTGATTTAGTGGTGGGACCCACTTAAAAAAAGAAGAAGAGAAAAGCATTGAAAAGTCAACAAAAGCTACAGTGGACTCTTAGCCGAGAACAGAAACAGAAAAGGGAAGAGGAAAAAGGAGAAAGAAGAAGAAGAAGAAAGAAGAGGAGGGTTTCATGTGGGCTTGTCGCGGGACTTCACCAAACTGATTCGACTTCGTGTCGCAACGCCCGGATTACGAGATCGTCGGCTCGTTTAGTTACGTGTTATTGGTTTCCGATATTCCCAGGTGAGTGGTGCTAATATCTCCTTTGGTTTTGTAAAATCCATGTACTGAGGTACATATACATATACATATACATATACATATATATACATATACATACATATACATATACATATACATATACATATACATATACATATACATATATATATATATATATATATATATATATATATATATATATATATATGAAAGTAATAAGAACACATTTGCTGTATAAAGATGGATCAAATGTTTATTACTTTTGGATTATGGTGGGATGGTTTGATAAACCTTTCGTGAAAGGTTATGCTTACTATTTTGTGCATTAGATTTATGATATAACTCTTGAGGGGTTATATGTGTTGGTTTGTGAAACCATTTGTGATATGGATTGGTAAAAAGGGCTAAGTGCTACACGATAATGTAATTTCGTGGGAGCCACCTTTAGAGCCTTGTAGTCAAGGGCTAAGTGCTACATGGCGACTCAAGTCGTGTGGGAGCCACCTCTAGGGCCTTGTACTATTAGTATATGTTGGTCAAGGACTAAGTGCTACACGATAACGTAAATTCGTAGGAGTCACTTCTAGGGTCTTGTAATATTAGTATACGTTGGTCAAGGACTAAGTGCTACATGATAACGTAAATTCGTGGGAGTTACCTCTAGAGCCTTGAGTTGAATATTGAGTATGGATCAGACGATTGACACGTGATTTGACGAGTTTGATTATTAAACTAGACCAGTAATACTGGTTTTTATATTATGGATGAATGGGTATTCATGTTATGGATATATTTATATTGAAGTGGTATATAACTCATTTTACTCTTGTAAGTTGTTATATTATGATTGGTATAAATGAATTATGTCCTTGTGTATCTGGAGGCTCGATATGTTTATAAGATATGTACTGCTCATTGAGCTGTGGTTGCTCATCCCTCTTTTTCCCAATCTTTTCAGATTCCTCGGCTAGTGGCCATTAGTACAAGAGCGCTATCACGGGGACTTTTGGGAGTTAGATTTTGGTTATGGTTTGTTGGGAGTTGTATGTAAGGTTGTTGATAGTTCGTTGGGTTGGTTGAGTTCTTGATGTACATGTTCTTTTGGTGGATTATAGAAACTCTGATGCTTTAACCAACCTGTTGGTTTATTTGATATATATGTGGCTTGAGATATTATGTTGATAAGAGGTTGTTGGTTATTTTTAAGGCTTCGTTCTTCGTGTGAAAGGACAGCCGTGTCATTCCTCTTTCTAGTTGTTTTTGGGGTATGATATTTTTTGGTATCAGAGCTTAAGTTGTGATCTATTTGGGTGTAGGATTTATGGGACGTTGTGAGATTGTGTGATAGTTTAGCATGTTATCTTCTAGGTGCTAAGGTTTTGTTTTGCTTTGGATTAAGGTGATCACACATTCCGACTCGGAGACACTTGTCTCGCTTCGTAAGAATAGTAAAGGCAAGCGAGTCGCTACTCTCGACACCAGAGATATGCCTCAAGGTTCTCGAGGCCCTGCTTCAAAAAGGAGACTGGAGGATCAATTTGAAAGGAGTCTCGACTCACAAGATGAAAGTGATGAGTTTCATGAGCCTACCATCTAAGGCGATTTATCTGAGACTTATCAAGTAGTGCCTAACTTTCATCGTCAGCTGAAGGATCTAGGTGGGAGTGGAACCGCTATGACTGAGGATGATAGAGAGTACACATTTGCCCAGTTTAGAAAGGCGAAGCCACCTACTTACAATGGGAAATCGGATCCTCTATTGGCCGAACGTTGGATTAGAAGAATGGAGAGGTTTTTTAGAGCCAAAAGAGTTCCCAATGACCGAAAGGTTGACTTTGCCACCCAATGTTTGGAGGGCGAAGCTGAGTATTGTCGGAAGGGACTAGACCCGCTTTGGGAGGTAGAGATGCGATAATTTCTTGGGAAGACTTTACAAAGGCCTTCAATACTCAATTCTTCTCGAAGTCATTCCAAGTGAATATGAGAGATGACTTCATACACATATCTTACGGTGACTCTACAATGATGGACTATGCAAGCCGCTTCAATCAGTTAAGTAGGTTTGCGGAACATTATGTGGCTAAGGAGGAGCTTAAAGCTGAACATTTCCAAAGAGGCCTTCGGCCTAATATACATTTTAAGGTCGCATATTTTGAATTGACCACATATAAGGATGTCTTGGAAAAGCAATTAAGGTGGAGCGATACCAATTTGAGAGCGACACACAGGCTGCACCTCAGCACAAGAGGTTTAAGCTGACAGATTATTAAGATAACCGTACTACTAGTGGTAGCGGAAAGCAAAGAGATTTCAATCGGCCAGGAAGGTCCCGAAATCAAAGTATTCAAAGCCCTTGTGCTATATGTGGTAAACTCCATGGCGGTCGTTGTTATCGCAAAATAGGAGCATGTTTTCTTTGTGAAAAAATGGAACATATGGCACACGATTGTCCCATAGAGAGGGACGTCCCTATTGATATTAGAAAATGGTTTGAGTGTGGGCAACCGGGACATATAGCACGCAATTGCTCCATGCGGAAGAATGCTCCTGCAGTTGGTAGGCCCCAGGAAAACCAACAAAGACAGAGGAAAAGTGGGAAAGTTTTTGCAATGACAAAGGAGGATGTGGCGGCCTCTAACGCAGTTGTTGCAAGTAATATTTCTATTGCCTCGCAATGTGCTTATGTGTTGTTTGATTCCGGTGCTACGCATTTCTTTATTTCTATTGGATTTGCAAAGAAGCTTGATGTATTGCCTGAGCCTCTTGAATATGAATTGCGTGTCGATACTCCTACTAGTGATTTCTTGGTTGCTGATCATGTGTTTAAGAGGTGTGCACTCCAGATTAATAATGTTGAAATGTCTGTGGATCTAGTAGAGTTAAATATTCGAGATTTCGATGTTATTATCGGGATGGATTGGTTTTCCACATATCGTGCTACTGTTGACTGTTTTTCGAAGAAAGTGATTTTTAGACTTCCGAATCAACCTGAATTCTCCTTTTCGGGAAGTTGTAAAGACACTTTTCCAAAGTTGATCTTGGCTTTGCAAGTGAGGAAACTTTTGAGAAAGGGTTGTTGTGGTTATTTGGCTTGTGTAAAAGACCGAAGTAAGGTTGTAGTGAAGTTGGAAGATGTTCCAATTATCAGAGAATTTCCTAATGTGTTTCCCGAGAATTTACTAGGTTTGCCTCTTGATAGAGAAATTGAATTATGTATTGAATTGATACCTGGTACATCATCGATCTCTAAGGCACCATATCGGATGGCACCTGCTGAGTTGAAATAATTGAAAACGCAATTGCAAGAGCTTCTGGATAAGGGTTTCATCATACCTAGTGTTTCGCCTTGGGGAGCTCCAGTTTTATTTGGGAGAAAGAAGGACGATAGTATAAAGCTTTGTATAGACTATCGAGAACTTAACAAGGTGACGATAAAAAATAAATATCCTTTGGCTCGGATTGATGATTTATTTGATTAACTTCAGGGAGCTCGGGTTTTTTCTAAGATTGACCTTCGTTCTGGGCATCATCAGTTGAAGATAAAAGCAGATGATGTGACTAAAACTACTTTCAGAACAAGGTATGGCCATTATGAATTTCTCGTCTTGCCTTTTGGTTTAACAAATGCGCCTGCTGTTTTCATGGACTTGATGAACAGGGTATTCAGGGAGTATCTAGACAAATTTATTGTAATGTTCATCGATGACATTCTAGTGTATTTAAAGAGTTTGGAGGAACACGAGCAACACTTGAGATTTGTCCTACAAACTTTGCATGAAAAGAAGTTGTATGCTAAATTCAGTAAGTGCGACTTTTGGCTTGATCATATAGAATTCTTGGGTCATGTAATCTCGAAGGATGGCATATTAGTGGATCCAAAGAAAGTTGAAGCAGTTGTTCAGTGGAATCGCCCTACTAATATTACAGAAGTGAGAAGTTTTCTTAGGCTAGCTGGCTATTATAGGCGATTCGTGGAGGGATTCTCAAAGATTGCTGGTCCACTTACTTGCCTAACTCAGAAAAGAGTTAAATTTGTATGGTCGGATCAATGTGAGAGCAGTTTTCTAGAGTTGAAGAGGCGGCTAGTGTTGGCTCCTATATTGACTTTACCTTCAGGAACTGGTGGCTTCATAATTTATTGTGATGCGTCTAACGAAGGTTTGTGTTGTGTTCTGATGCAAGATGATAAAGTTGTTGCCTATGCTTCTAGACAATTGAAAACACATGAGAAGAACTACCCTACTCATGATCTCGAGCTAGCAGCGGTTGTGTTTGCTTTGAAAATATGGTGACACTATTTGTATGGTGAAAAATGTGAAGTCTTTACGGATCACAATAGTCTGAAGTATATTTTTACTCAGAAAGAGCTGAACATGAGGCAAAGAAGATGGTTAGAACTTTTAAAGGATTATGACTTGTCTATCAATTACCATTCAGGAAAGGCTAACGTGGTAGCGGATGCCTTTAGTCGTAAGTCCTTTAGAAACATGGCAACTTTGCTTACTTCTCAAAAACAAATTCTTGAAGATATGAGGAAGTTGGACTTGGAGGTATTAGTGCATCAGCTTGGTGCTCGTTTAGCCAATCTTCGAGTGCAACCAACATTGATTGACAGAATTAAGGTTAACCAGAATGAAGATCCTCACGTACAGAAAATCAAAGAAGGCATGGAAGCCGGAGGACAAGCAGATTTCAGTACACATGAAGATAGTTCCCTAAGGTTTTGTGGTCGTTTATGTGTTCCTAATGATTCAAAACTAAAACGGGAGATATTGCAGGAAGCTCATAGCACTAGATTTTCAATTCATCCCGGAAGCACTAAAATGTATAGGGACTTGAGAGAGAACTTCTGGTGGGTCAATATGAAGAAGGATGTTGTGAAATTTGTCGACCAATGTTTAGTTTGTTAGCAAGTGAAAATTAAGCATCAGAAACCAGGTGGACAGTTACACCTTCTCGAGATACCTACATGGAAATGGGAGCATATCGCAATGGACTTCGTCGTTGGTTTACCGATGACGCCAAGTGGTAAGAATGCTATATGGGTGATTGTTGATCGATTGACTAAGTCCGTACACTTGTTGTCATATTGATTCGGCCTTTCAATGGAAGACATGTCAAAGCGATATGTTAATGAGATAGTGAACTTGATGGAGTTCCAGTAAGTATTATTTCTGACAGGGACCCCATATTTGTATCTAACTTTTGGAGGAGTGTACAAGGGGCATTGGGTACTAAACTCAACTTGAGCAAAGCTTTTCACCCGCCAACAGATGAGCAGTCAAAGAGAATGATCCAAACGTTAGAGGATATCATCCTGCATCATTGACTTTGGCGGTTCTTGGGAAGAACATTTACATTTGGTGGAATTTTCTTATAACAACAGCTATCATTCTAGTATTAAGATGGCACGTTTTGAAGCTTTGTATAGCTGAAAATGCAGAAGCCCTATTTATTGGGATGATGTTGGTGAGAAAAGATTAACCGGTCTCGAGTTCATTCAGCAATCAGAAGAAAAAGTCAGGTTGATTCGGGAATGTCTTAAAACGGCTCAAAGTCGTCAGAAAAGTTATGCAGATCTTAAAAGGCGCAAGGTGGAGTTTAGTGTGGGGGATCATGTATTCCTAAAGGTTTCTCCTACGAAGGGTGTTATGAGATTTGACATGCGTGGGAAGTTGAGTCCAAGATACGTGGGACCATTCTTGATCTTAGAGAAGATTGGTGAAGTCGCTTACAAATTGGCTTTGCCACCGGCACTGTCGGGTGTTCATAATGTGTTATATGTCTCTTTGTTGCGTAAATATGTGCCAAATCCTGAGCATGTATTAGACTTTACACCATTAAGGTTAAGAGAGAACTTAACGTATGAGGACCAGCCTATTCGCATCGTCGATAGGAAGGATCGTGTGTTGCGACGGTGGACCATTCCTTATGTAAAGATACAATGGCGGAATCACACTGAGAGAGAGGCCACTTGGGAGCTTGAGGAGGAGGCAAAACGCAAATACCCACATTTGTTTGATGGTTAAGGTAAGTTCGAATTTTGAGGATGAAATTTCTTTTAAAGAGGGTATAATGTAATATTTGTGACTTAGTGGTGAGACCCACTTAAAAAGAAGAAGAGAGAAAAGCATTGAAAAGTCAACAAAAGCTACAGTGGACGCTCGGCTAATTTTAAAAGGAGACCGTGAGCTCCTTAGCCGAGAACAAAAACAGAAAAGGGAAGAGGAAAAAGGGGAAAGAAGAAGAAGAAGAAAAAAGAAGAGGTTTCGCGTGGGCTTGCTGCGGGACCTCACCAAGCCGATTCGACTTTGTGTCGCAACGCCCAGATTACGAGACCGTCGGCTCATTTAGCTACGTGTTATTGATTTCCGATATTCCCAAGTGAGTGGTGCTGATATCTCCTTTGGTTTTGTAAAACCCATGTACTGAGGTACGTATGTATATGGAAGTAAGAAGAACACATTTACTGTATAAAGCTGGATCGAATGGTTACTACTTTTGGATTATGGTGGAATGGTTTGATAAACCTTTCCTGAAAGGTTATGCTAACTATTTTGTGCATTAGATTTATGAGATAACTCTTGAGGGGTTATATGTGTTGGTTTGTGAAATCATTTGTGATATGGATTGGTAAAAAGGGCTAAGTGCTACATGATAATATAATTTCGTGGGAGCCACCTCTAGAGCCTTGTAGTCAAGGGCTAAGTGCTACATGGCGACTCAAGTCGTGTGGGAGCCATCTCTAGGGCCATGCACTATTGATATGTACAGTAAAGGACTAGCAATATTGATATGCACACTAAATGACTAAGTGCTACGCGATAATGTAAATTCGTGGGAGCTACCTCTAGGACCTTGTACTATTAGTATACGTTGGTCAAGGACTAAGTGCTACACGATAACGTAAATTTGTGGGAGCCACCTCCTGGGCCTTGTACTATTAGTATAAGTTGGTCAAGGAATAAGTGCTACACGATAACGTAAATTCATGAAAGCCACCTCTAGAGCCTTAAGTTGAATATTGAGTATGGAATGGACGATTGACACGTGATTTGACGAGTTTGATTATTGAACTGGACTAGCAATACTAGTTTTGATATTATGGATGAATGTGTATTCATGTTATGAATATATCTATATTGAAGTGGTATATAACTCATTTTACTTTTGTAAGTTGTCATATTCTGATTGGTATAAATGAATTATGTCCTTGTGTAGCATGGAGGCTCGATATGTTTATAAGATATGTATTACTCACTGAGCTGTGGTTGCTCACCCCTTTTTCCCAATCTTTTTGGGTTCCTCGTCTAGCCGCCGTTAGTACAAGAGCTCTATCACGAGGACTTTTGGGAGTTAGATTTTGGGTATCATTTGTTGGGAGTTGTATGTAAGGTTGTTGATAATTCGTCGGGTGGGTTGAGTTCTTCATGTACATGTTCTTTTGGTGGATTATAGAAACTTTGATATTGTAACCAACCCGTTGGTTTATCTTATATATATGTGGTTTGAGATATATATGTTGATAACAGGTTGTTGGTTATTTTTTAGGTTTCGTCCTTCGTGTGGAAGGACGGCCGTATCATTCCCCTTTCTAGTCGTTTTTTGGGTGTGACACTCAAGATGGGGGCACAACTCGCATTGAAGAGATCATATTACTTTTTTAACTATATACCACAGTCCACTGTTATCCCAGCCTACACAAAGCCTATGGGTGTCATCATCTAATTTCAGAACACATTCACATAGCATACCATCGTTTCTTGCCCAATGCATATCAAACTCCAGGTTTCATTATAGTTTCTCCGGGGAAAAAAACAAGCGGTTGACCTGTGTTATAGTTGCCACTCATGCTAGTTACAAGCTTTCCTTCTCATCAGTCATCTCTAAGTGGATTGGAGGTACTGGCCACAAGTTGGAAAGAGGATAATGATATTTTTATCCGCCATTAACTGTAATTGGTGAAGTTTTATGATGATCGAATCAATTACTAAGTTGAAAATATCCACTTACTCCAACAACCTATATCTATCCATCTCTCTATAATCTCATTAAAAGGTTCAGTGCTTGGAAACATTCACAGTAACACCTGAATTTCCAACATTTTTATTCCTACAAAACTGAAGAACTACGAAAAAAGGGTTGTTGTCCCTGTGACTTGATTTCCACTATGAATGAAACTAAAATTTTCGCTCATTCTCAGAGTAATTGTATATGATGCACCAAGCAGCACTAGAGAAGCAAACAGTTGATTTCGGAAGAAGCCAAGAAATGCGAACCCGAAACATGATGAGTTTGATGTTTCTGCTAATCGAATCAGATGAAGTCCTAGTTTGGTAAACTTAGGACTGACTTACTAATAATTTGGTTATCTTCCACAGCCGACTCTGACAAGAGCCCTTCTGGCAATGGCCTTCCTCTCAGAAATGAGCTAAACAACACCAGCGATCTCTCTGGCTGCGAAAACGGTGCTTCATGAGACGCCCCTCTAATTGTCGCATATGATAATATATCTCCATACACTTGTGTCCACCCAGCAACCTATGAAAAATGAAGAGAAGGACCTTAATTTCGTCAATCACCTATCAAAATCAATGGGAGGAGTGATGTCCACGAGGGTTATTTACTGAGCGGACCTGTCTTTCCTCGAACCAGACTCTATAAGGCACGGTTGTGTTCAGTCCCAATTGCTTTGCTAAGTTATTCACTAGAGTCCTTGTTCCGAGTAATGGAATAGCAGAATCTTGATCCCCACTGTCGACATTGCAAATGGAAAATCAAACCGACGTGGTGGTTGTTCCTTATACAATAGCCTATTAAGTCATATACACAGTTCCGAAGAATGCCATTTCTTTGTTTTACCTGTAAACTAAAACGTGGATTCCTGACTTCACTAACTCCCCCAAAATCGAAATGGTTGGTATCTCCAGATTTTGATATTCATATCTGAGAACCCTGTAGCACAAAAGAATCATGAGGGAATTCAGACGAAGAAGCATGACATGAGATGAAGAACCCAAGTCAAAGAAGGAAGGTTAAGGACTGGTCAATTGAAAGTTCCGAAGAAACCACGTCATAAATGGACTTGTAGATAATCAAGAGTCATTTAAATGGATTAATGTTAGGAAGAACCAATCATATAGTCCTATTATCGCAACAAGGTTACAGACAATCTTGTCCGGAAATTGGGAAATGTGGATATACTTCGACAAGATTCAACAAGATTAGTTACGATGCCATTTAGCCATAAACTTGTGCCTCTAGAAGATGAAGGTCCAAGGAGTAAAGTCGATCCTTACTCGCTGCAGACTGTCCATGTAGAGATTCCAACCAGCCGAGCATGTAGAGCCTCCTGCACTTCTTTCCTGTTCAAGTACTTGAGGGTTTCGTCTTCTACACATACATCTATCTTCTCCGTTTCTTGCTGGAAGCAGCATAATCAAAAAAATTCAAGAGGTTATGAAGGATAAAAATAAAAAAGTTCATCAGAATTGATGAAGAGGCTCACCAGCTTATTCAGAACCGCGGACTGTGAAGAAACTGTTGACAAACAAACATCAAGAGTGACATCGTAGGTGTCAATATATTGGCTTATTTCTCTTGAAGCTTCTCTGGCGACATGAGAGCAGACAGGGGTGAGGGTGCCGCTCTGTGCTTGTCTGCGAATTTGGGAGTAATTGCATATTGTGTTGAAACTTTCGTAGGTTGCGTCAGATATCAATCCATGAGACCAAAAAAATTCCGCCCGGGAGTTGAAATCGGCGTTGAACTCGAGAAGCGGATTTCCTATCTGCAGCGAGCATGAGATTTGTTCATCTCAGTAGGTATCAATCCAATGTATGTGAGATGCAAATTCAAGTTTGCAGACTTTTCAGTCAAACTCACAGCAATTCCCTTCAAATTGAACAACTTGGATTGCACCACGAGCATTGCAAGTTGTGGAACATAATGACCTGGTAAGAGTGAAATTAGATAGAAAATTCTGCATTCATGGAACTTCCAATTCATTCAACCACGCAAATCGGTGTTCACAAAATCTTAATCACTAGTTCACCTGCATAGCTCTCTCCTGTGATGAATAAATCTCTCTCCTTGTATTCCGGGAATTTTTCAAACCAGTTACGGAGGAATGCGAGATTGTCTCTTGCTGAAATGTGGAAGCATTGTTTAGCTGGTATTAATACTTAATTCACATTCACATTACCTCTGTAAGTCACAGCTGCACTTTAATTTGTTAAAGGATATTGCAATTTGCAAGGAAAATCCGAAAAGAACCTGTCATCTTGTCGTCGACGGAGTTATAATAAGTATTATTGACAGAGTAGGAGAAACCAACTCCTGCAGGAGATTCCAGGTACAACATGTTCGCTTCTGCAAATAAACCAAAAAATGCAAGAATTAGCCAATTACGGAATCTCCGTATCGCAGCAAATGGGATCAATCTCACATTCACCCTTGAAAATAATATATCTGATACAAGATTCAATTCAGTTTCCTATTGATTTAAGATTTAGCAAAGAGAGACAACATATGAACATGTCTTTAAGCTGGTAAAGGTACAGGACTAATTTTTTCCCCCTCCTTTGTTTAGGGGACTTGTGCTCACCTTTATTCCAGCTATAGTCATTTTTCAGGAGCACATCTCCACTGGGCTTGAATGGTCCATGCTCGCAGAAAGCACCAGCTCCAACGGATGAACAGCCAGGCCCTGCAAGGTGCAAACCCAACAGACAAACAGACTTCAGTGTTTTTCAGCACGCTCGTTTCATTTCTCGCCATCATTCTCTCAAAATCAGTTCAGATGGTTTTACCTCCATTGAGCCAAAGCACGAGAGGCTTCGAAGCCGGGTCGGCTTCGGCTTCGGCAAAGTAATAGAAGAGAGCTCTCTGTTGCTTCTCATCCACGGTGATGTACCCTGCATACTGGCTGAAGCTAACCTTGGGCTGTCCCGGCAAGCTGGCGATCTTGTCAGCTTCTGAACTTGAGCATATTCGGGTCAGTGTTACACACAGTGCTGCTGCGGTAAGC